CCGGCCCTGGCTTGAATTATTGTTAGAAACATACCACACCGTTTATTTTGGATTCTTTTACTCAACACACTTGTGTTGAGTTTGGTGTTTATAAGATAATTGTTTTAAAGGGGGAAAAGGGAGAGTGATAAAAAAAATAACAAATGGACAATGCAGTGATGCGTATATGTCAATACTTTACCACTCGGTGTTCGTTCACCGGACAGCAAACTACGTAAGAATGGTTTGCGCAAGCTTCAAAAGATAAATAAGTGATGAATATTTATTAGCACAGTATAAAACTGAAGATTGTTGAGTTCTCAAGAATGTATGCCCATTAATGGCATAGATTCATAAATTGAATTAAAACATTTACAAACTAAAATTGCATGAATTTTCCTACAACTTGACAGTAAATACAAAAGTGTACAAACTAAGATGGACACCAATGGACAATACCTGTTTCATATTGAACGTTCTTAATACTGGGGTTCAATTCTATGGTTTTGAAAAATTCCGCGTATGCGCTGTGGTCAGTTGTGTGCAAAAGCCCAACAGAGTTTAAGTTATCAGTATTTGTTAAGTTTAAGAATCTTTCTTACGAAGAATGTGTTGGAAGTATAGTTTAAAGCCAACCTTGAATACTGCAGTTGTTGTCCCTAATAATTTGTCATTAATGGACATTGGGAAAATGTCCGCATAGTCAGTATTTATTGCTTTATCCGCATTTATTCAACAGATTTAATGTTTCCACAAAGCGTTGTTCAACTTTTTCATTCGAACAGTAACAACATTAAGATTGTATTTGCTCATGGTAATACTTTGAGAGATGCACTTGTATTCCATGCAGACGGTCTCCGTTGCGAAAAACATTTGTTTTTAAATTGTCTCCATTCTTGCATTTTACCACATTATTTTTGGCTAGTTTTTGCACTCTCACGCAAGGTTAACCCACTACATCTATCCAGAGGGCTAGTCCTCAAAAGTATATACGTGCTATAAGTTTGGTCTATAGTTCTTTGCTAAAGGACTCCTTAATTCTGTACACAGTTTTAAATACTTTTAGAGGTTTTTCTACATATTTTCCAACACTGTATAACTTTATTGTTATAGCGAATGAATTTTATCGGTTTCCCGGTTGTAATTTAATATGTGCTTAAATGGCGTTTTCCGTCATTAAATTAAATTCACATACGTACTTATGTTGTTGCCATAATGTCATAATTAAATTACATACTTTATAGGCTGTGGAATTAATATGACTGCTTTGGTTATGGTTTTAAATGTTCATATTTAATTGTAGGGTGCTCCTATTTTACCACGGTGGTGATCGTGAAAAATTCATGTGTCGATCTAGCCTTGTGTGTTCGTTCCATCGCAATTTTAATCGGATTGTCGAACCATTTTTCGTAAGATGGTGGTCTTCCAAAAATGAAGCCTAATTGTTTTTTTTTTTTGTCGGGAAATATTTATATTCATCTATTTGTTAGTGTTTTGTTCTGTGATTTCAATCACAATACTGTGTTTTGCGATAAAGCTAGCTTTAAGGGGAGCCTTATAATTGACCCATGGGTTAAATTCTTCCAAACTAATGAACGTATCGCTTAAAGAGTTTGTATACGATACTGGTGAGTTATCACAATCAATTGTACATTTCATTTTGAGTGTGGAAAACATTTATAGTGGAGAAATTATTGGTGATATGGTCTTTAAACATGGATGGGATTATTTCAACAATAGTTTACTCAATTTTAACATGGTTTGGTGGCTTCACTAAACGATCACGTCCTATTTTAAAAATCGAGTACAATTGTTATTTGATATTGAGATCTACGACCAAAAATTAAACAGTCAATAAGTGATACAAACATGTGGTATGAATGGTAGACCTGATTATTATTTGGAAACTTTCACAGTTTTTATTTGAAGGTCCATCCTTGGCGGAAATATCTTTAAAAACTAAACCAGTAAAGAAAGTCCTAAAGTCGGGTGGGGCCGATTTTATGATACCCTACACCACTTTGCTAATTTAGTTGAGCTCCACTTAATAATTAAACGTTTTTATGGAAGAATTCAAATATAGACGCTATGATTATAATTATAATTTAAAATTCAAAGGACTAAATATGCCGAAGCATTTGTATCTTTTAAATTCGGACTTGTATTGCCCATTTGGTGCGAAATTAATTTGAAATCGGATAAAAATATATATGGGAACTATATCCAAATCTGAACCGATCTCGATAAAATTTGGCAAAGATATTTCTGAGCTGTATTTGATATATTTCCCTGAATATCGTTGTTACAGAGTGCATATTACGGCTGTGGGTAACAAATATAACAAATCGAATGAAGAGTATATATGGGAGCTATAGCTATATCTGAACCGATCTTCACCAAATTTGGCATACTACCTTCTAGACACAATTCGGTCGTATGTGCCAAATTCCATCCCATTTGTGCAAATATTAAACGTTTGGTGCACAATAAATGGTAAATCGGACGAAGTTATATATGGGAGCTATATCCAAATCTGAACCGATCTCGATAAAATTTAGCAAAGGTATTTCTGAGCTGCATTTGATATATTTCCCCAAATATTGTTGTTACAGAGTGCATATTACGGCTGCGGAGGACAAAAATAACAAATCGGATGAACAATATATATGGAAGCTATAGCTATATCTGAACCGATTTCGATAAAATTTGGCATACTTATTTTCAGGCCTAATTTGGTTGTATGTGCAAAATTCCATACTATTCGGGCTGATATTACACGTTTGGTGCACAATAAAAGGCAAATCGGACGAATATATATATGGGAGCTATATCTAAATTTTTACTAAATTCGTCCTTGGGCCAAACAAATGTTGTTTGCAAGATTTCATCTCAATCGGATAATAAATGCGACCTGCATTTTGTTCACAAGAATACATGGACAGACGGACGGACAGACGGACTGACATGCATAAATCAACTCAGAAAGTGATTCTATGCAGATCATCAAAAGGAACTATGGGCCTATCTCGTTTCCTTTTGCCTGTTACAAACAAATGCACAAAGACATAATATACCCTGACCACCTTGTGGTGTAGGGTATAAACAGCGTGCTAACCATGCGGACTGGGTCAGGTATAATATTTAGAAATTGGATTATTTAGGAATTTATATCCCCTAAAAAGTAATTAGTAATGTCAACAAATCGAAAAACATTTACAAATCGAAAACCAGTAAAAAAAGAGCAAAAGTTGCTCGATACCGACTTTATAATACCCTATACTGTGCAGTGCATGTTTAGTAGAGCTAATACCAAATAATAAACATTAACATTGCGAAATTAATTGTTTAAGGCGGTTTAAATTTAAAATAGGATGAAATATATACCTTAATATCAATCGATTTCAACTAAATATCATAGCAAAGAGTCCATGTTATGACTTTGGGAAGACTTAAATTAGAATGGGGTGGATCATATAGCTATATCTGAACCGATGTTCACCAAAATTTTACAAACTTGCTTCAAGATTAAATTTGGTCAAATATGCCGAAGTGCACCAATTTGGCTGATATAACACATTTGGTGTATATTGAACATAAAATCGGACGAATATTTCTATTGGAACTATATCTAAAATTGGGTCGGTGAGCAGGAATTCCAATCGCCTCTGTCGGACAATAAATTCAACCTGTGATTTGTCCACACCAATACATGGACAGACGGGCGGACATGAATATACCGACTCATAATGTGATTCTATGGACGACATCGAAAGGACCTAACAAACAAATACACAGAGATATAATGCCCCTAGTGTATAATTACAAGAATTTAAATACAAATTGACGGTATATATAATATTTTAACATAGATCCACGAGTTCATATAGCCAGCAAAGACTGCGAGGTTTTGAAGAACTGCAAATATGCACACTAGCATGTACAGCAAGAGTCTTAGAGATAGTGTTGCATTAATTCTATAAAAGGGATAACGCCAATTTCAAACACGTTAATCTGTAATCCATATTTTGAATTAGATAATACTCAATGTTTTCCATTCAATTTATTCGTTACTGCAGAATGTTCTACTGAAACATTGAAAATGTGATATCTGAAAGTAGAAATATTACGTTTTCCTGCGTTAATTAGCACTATAATATCGGTCTATAAATTTAGTCAATTCCGAAATGCCGCCGTAAGGTATATTTGACGTAGGGTCGTGACCACTCTTAATTAACTTTCAAAAAGGTGAGTTTATAAAATTGTCGCAAACTTTTTGCAAAGTCATACTTACTCGTGAATGAATCGAAAGAAAAACTGAACGGAATCACAAAAAATGCTTTAAAATTCTTTGATGATGGAAAAATACGGTCCAAAGTGAAATTTATTGCTGAGGGTGAGAAAAAATGTTAACCATGAATAAGTAAAATGTATTTAAATAAATAAGATTTCCGAAGACCTCTTACTGATACACAGTGTTAACTGAGACTGAATGTACAACTGAGGTTCATAAACTCACATTTGTGGTGGTTAATTTCCAACATTTATTCAATAAAAACTTCCAATTGTTCGCTACATTATTTTATATGCTGCGACAAACAATCTTAAAATGGTAAATCGCTCTTTCCACATGTAAACCGTACAGTACCTAAAGAATTCGATTAAATTAATTTTATTTTAAATTTCCAATTGAGATTTAAAATAAATCCGAAAAATGCAAACTATTCATAATGTTCGCAACCTCAACAAGTTAATTGCAAATCGATTTCATTTTTTGTTTGCTTTTCAGCAACGATGTTTTATTTAAAAACCCACTTATCAATGCAACAACATTAATTATGACTTCAATAATGGCCAAAGAGGAAAATTATCCTAATGGACGAGTGGTAAACAACAGTGGCCGAGCAACGGTAGGTATCTTTAGGTTTGGTGCGGCGAATCGATAGCACATCAATATTGACGCCATGACTGATATCCCTCGTAAAATGAGAAATAAATAAAAACCACATAAAATATGCAATGCATTCTTTTTTCAATTTATAATTATCATTTATTTACTTCACACAAAATTATGTGAATATTTAATTCGTACTCTTCATCGGCAGCTTTATAATACATGTACAATATACAATACAATCATTTTTCATATGTGTATATATCTATATGTTCATATAAAAAAAAGTCCTTATAACTATAAAAAATCCTTCCTATAATTTATTAATAAAACCTCACACGTCTGTGGGACGAGTTTTAGCTGGAGATGGGGGCGAGCAAGTGCGGCAGTGTCGTTCGTTGGCTTCACATTGGCATACAAAAATATGCACTCTATTTAATAATTATCACTATTATTCGAAATATAAATTGTATCGTAAAAAAGATATTCAGTCACAATTACTCCGCCCCCGCACCATAATAAACAACCTATAGCTACGAAATAATGTTTAAAATAAAGCGAATTTAACTCTATCTTTAACAAAAAAATGAACAAGTTTACAAATGAAAAAAGAAAGTCGAAAAATGTAAAAAAATAATACAATTATGCTACGAATAATGCAATTTTTACAGGAAATTAATGTAATTGGCATTACATGATTTTGATTCACTTTGCTTGTTGTAATGACTTAATGAACGTTTTTTAAACCTGAATGCGAGTGTATGTATGAGTATGCACACGAGTGGATATATATGTATTTACAAGTACAAATACAAGTCAATCAATCAATTAATCGATTCGATTAAATAAACAAATTGAATTCGACTTAAATCATAAAATAAGGAGCTTACTACACAACTTATGCTACACTTTTGGCAATGAAACATGAATAATTAACCTTTCCATAAACAACAACAATAGATAATCTATTGTAGAAAACACCTAAGTATGTTTAATGATGTTTTTTTTATAGATGTGTGAGTGTTTTTTTTTTTTAATTACATAACGTAGTATGAGAAGATGTTAAAATTCTGGAAAGTATCGTAAATCCTATTGGGATGTCTGTCCAAACATCCGACAAAGACGAAACACTACACGTAACGTGTTATTTGAGCATAGAATTCCGATAGACAGGCGTGTAACTGAATGAATGATGGTCGCTCAGCAGGCAGCAGTGCCCAACAATATGCCATTATTGTAAATCTGTAATGATAAGAAAAGGCACAAAATAAAAAATATTAGTTAATGATTGAAACACATTACGAACGGATTTGAGTTTAAAAATCAATGACATTTCTAAAAATTGCGCTTCAATTGTTTTCTTTTGGAAAATAAATTGGTAAAATAAAAGTTAAAGCAACTTTGCCATTTTACTGTTTTCAATTTATTTGTTTAAAACAATTTTTTAAAGCTTTAAAGAATTTGTTAAAGAACAGCTACTTACAACTCATCTGGACAATTAAATGGCTGAGCCAGTCTATAACCATCCCTAAGATAATGTTCCATTTCGAATGGATCAACTTCAGCATAGGGTTGCTTGGCCGATGTACACAATTCCCACATGAGGACGCCGAACGCCCAAGAATCACTTGCTTCTGAGAATTGTTTATGCTGCAATGCCTCCAATGACATCCACTTTACGGGACGATTCTCACTGTCACCAAGACAATTGTAATCGCCGGGAAATAGATCACGTGACAAAGAACTGTCTGATAATTTTACACGCAATTGATCATCAATTCTGTAAAGAAAAACGAATAGGAATTTAAGAGAGGTCAATTACGAACGAATTAAATAATAAGTGTAAATTTTGAATCTTTAAAGTCTACATTGAAATGCGTTTAAGCATTGATACTTACACACAGTTTCTCGTCGCAATATCCTTGTGTACAACTCCGTGACTGTGCAAATGGCTAAGAGCTGTCGATAAATTCGATGCCATCATAACAATTTGAATAGTTGTGATGGTGCGGGCACACGACGGATCCAGCAAAAACATTTTCAAATTTCGAGTATTATTCATGGCCGGATATAAAACAAATGGAGTTGTGTGATCCTCAATTGAAACTCCCAAAACGGACAAAATACCCGGATGGGAAGCGCCATACAGAGACATACCCTCTTGCAATAGCAGAGAAACTTGCATTTGACTAGCGTGTTGGGCAACTGTTTTTACCAAAACATCCTGATTATCGTTGTAGGATCCCCGATATACCCGGCCGAATGTACCCTCCTGTAGGAGACTGGACAAACGGACGCGACAACGTTCCACGGTCAGCTCCGATATGCGACGATGCAACTCTTCTGGTTGTTGCGGTTCCATTTTGCGAGGCAACGTACTGTGTATTGGAGCGATAATAGATGGGGTAATGTAAGAAGCAGATTGGCAAGGGGGGTTTGTATTAAGTCTTTGGAAACTAGATGTTCTCATGGGCTGACCATGATGATTCTGACGTTTGGCCGATCCACGAACACAATAGGCCGCAAGCAAAAGTATCAAGACCAATGCCAACGCCAGAACACTACCCACAACTAATGTAATTAGGCCAGTAGGTGGTTGTACAACAGTTTCCAATAGTAACGGATCTTCAACATCTATTTCGTCCTCTTCAGCGGTCAGACAGATTTTCTTTCTGCGAAATACCAAATGCGTAACATTGTTCAATGCCCGATTAAGTATGACCTCTATAGAGATGCTGACCTCCACTTCCGCAGCGCGTATGCCCGAACATTTCAAGCTGATCGAAAATGTCTTTACTTCGGTTGGAATTTCGCCAATCTGTGATATATTGAGAGTGGGCCTGGGCAATACTGCTGGATCAGAAGTGACCACATTTATACTGTACGGTAGAGTACGACCAGCCAAACTTTGCCATGTAAAACTGATGTCTCGCACATTGGCCGGCACAGGCACAATGAAATTCAGGGCATAGTTATTTATGTGACCATCACGTACATAATAAACTTCGGCCGAAACACCTGTAACAAACCGAGAAAAGAAAATGAATGAAATGTTTAGTGTCATAGAGAAAACGAACACAGTATTGTTTCAATAATTTTGATACAACAACTTTTGTCATCCCAAAACGGATGGCATCTCCAAAATAGTTAATAAATTCTGAACACATACATTGACTCCTAACTAAAATATACTTGCTGTCTGCTGTGTTTATCTGTGTTATAAACCTAACAACAATATCATGTCTTTATAAAAGGGGGTGGTCAGAATAATTGCAAAGTTTCTGTAGAAATGTCGGAACGAAAACAAAATCCTAGAAATTTTACTCTGTTTTTCAATTGCAACAAAACTGTGTCTGTGGAAATTTCTAATAAGCTCATATTGCGAATTTGTCATTAAGTTGCGAATAACGACAACTATCAGAAGGTTAAAAGAAAAATTGAAACAAGAATCATTCCAAACTCAACTTGTTGCGGTTCCTTTACAAATATTTTTTTTTAACTTGACTTGTCTTGTAGGAATGTATTTTCTAGGATTCTTCTCATGATGGTCGGGTTTCCTGTCCGAAGCTGACAAAATTCCACTATGAGTCAGTCCATTCGGCCCTATTGGTTGACCTGTTCCAAAAACAAATTACAGACTTCTAATGTATCACATGATAAGGAATTCGCCAAATTTAGATTCTATTTATCATTCCTAATTGCAAACCAGATGGCCACCTTTATTTGTTTTTGTAAGTGGCTACCACCACCAGAAAATAAGGAACATGTCCAATCCACTTGTTAACTTGCCGTTTCATTTCGTTGTTGTTGTTATTCGATTACTACAGCAAAGAATAGATTGTGAATAGGAAAAAAGTGACAGAAGAATCACTTGAAGAAAAACCTCACATCAAATCAAGTCACGCACACTTCATTAGTATCATAACAAGATGTGTAAATGTGTTTATGTTGCCGCATGTGTAGTCAGTCAGTCAGCCAGCCAGTCAGTTGTTCTTTGGTTCGTTCATTCGTCTCTTTTTTATCCTTATTGGATTCTTGTTGTCTGTTGTGGCGATGCCAATAAATCTGCACATAATCAAGTTCCGAAGAATAGACATTCAATTTTTCGATTCATTCAGTTTGGTGTAACATACCACAAGATCAAAACTATTTGATTCTATTTTTTTTTTTTTTTTTTGTTTTTCTTGTTTGGCGAATTTCAATATGTACTGAATGCCATCATCATTGGCCATTTCGAAAGGATGTCATCCTTGTGTCACAATAAACTTTCAATTGTTTTCTATGTTGGCTTGTTTTTGGTTGTGGTCAGCATGGCATTCGAACAAGTTTCAGTTTTATTCGAAGAGATTTATTTTATATGGCATGGCACAATTAAAATTTTTCCAATGCTGGCTGGCTGCTGGTGCCCATTCGAAACTGTTTGACTGCCTGACGGTCCTGACGGTCTATTGGCCTAGATAAAGTGAATGTGTTTGGTCTTGGTACGTGCTGCATACGAAGGACTAATGATATTTCCCTCTGTGACATGAATTTGACATCTATTTAAATGGTTTTTTGTATTTTAGAGTAAAACATTAGCCGTGGAGAATACAATTCAATTTAATTCAACAAAAATGTTTAATTTAAAGAATGAGTGGTCACATCCAAGTAATCCCAAAATGACATTAACTAATGCAATTTCCTCAAACACCTCGATAGCAAGGAATCGTATTTCTTTTTTAAGCCATGACAGTTTTTAATCATCCCATCTCATCTCCAGTATTAGTTGGAGTACAATAGAACACTTACCCCATCTCTCTCTCTCTCTCGTTTCGTTTCAATTCACACCTCAGTAAGACAATTTAAATCATTTTAATCCTAAATTGTCACAAGTACTTACAAAGTACCTATGACAGACAGTTCAAATGCACAAACACACGACGGCAACAAGAAATGACAAACGAATGGCGGTAATGAAATGAAATGTTTTCATTACAAAAGTTAGACTAGGAAATGTGGAAAAGGGAGACCAACGCTACGACAATAGCGCTCTGTTCACGTTTTCTTCTCTTGTCTTGTGCAGTGTCCCACCAAACCCACACATGATAACGAAAAGATTAAAAATATGATGACAATGATGCACAGACACAGGACAATTTGCACCTCCAGGACGCAGGCACACAAAACAACAAAATAGGATGCCATATAAAATTTGACACACCTCCATTGGATGACTGTATAACTGTCATACATCCGACATACCCAGCCATATCATCTGCTGACACATCTGACTTCAGGAGTGAAATGGGAAAAAATGAACTGCGAAGCATAAAAAGAAATACACATTTAAGAGGATTTTCCCTAAATGACAATAGACCGTGGAGAACTCTAATGGAAACGAAAGTAATAGGATACATTTTAATAGCACACTGAGAATGGGTATAATAGATTTCCTCCTCCTCCTCCTCGAAGAATCATGGGAAGTTGTTCGTTTTCCTTAATAATTTAATTAAAAATATAATTACCCAAATGTTTGAAGGCAGAAGAAGACGTTAATGATTCTTGAAGGTTATGTTTTTGTTAAAATAAAAATATTGTTAAAAATTGATTGTAATACAACAATTGGTATGTTACTGTGTTATCTAAAATTCGACGTACTCAATCGACGTTTTCACCACGCAATTATAACACCTGTATTTATATGAGAGTTACCCCAAATACGTCGGGCGTACGATATTTCAAAGTTGAATAATATCAATGTTGACAATTGAACAATTTCTTTTTTTATGTGTCGAAAATATAAATAAATAATACAAAAAATGCGATAGTTTGTAATTTAAAAATATATTTGGGTAAATTCTTAAAAATATCAATTTTTACGACGTCTTTATTTGGTAGATTTAAATATAGACATGACGTATTTGTGTAATACGGACGTACGAAACATTTTACTATTCGAAATTTAGGTAAATCACGTTTATTCTTGAATTGAAAACAGACATATCACAAAATTTTAAAATGACAGAACAATGACAACCAAGGCAATAAAACAATAGATAAAACTTAAGAAATATATTGTTCGTATCGGGAGAAAGGAATGAACCCTACTTTTCGTTAGAGAATTACAAAAGATTCGAACAAAAAATTGGTATGCTCATTACAAAGTAATGCGTTACCAGTAAGAAAACGTAAATGCCAATAACGTAATGTCTGCATTACCATTACGCTAACTAAAATGAGTTATTCCAAAAAATTATCTAAATTTTCCCTTACTATGTAATAGGAAAAAGTATGATAAATGATGTAATAGGAATGAATTGCATACTCTGAGCATGTTTGAATTTGTGACAGACAAATAAGCAAAAAGGCAATGAATAATTACCCAGCAAAAAATACGAAGCCAAAGATAATGTTTTATCATTGGTACAAATGATGGGTTGGCATCTTTTTTGGCACATCTTCTTTTTACAAGAGAATGGCAAGCAAAAAAAGAAAAAAAAACAAAACAAATAATTTTTGGATCCTAAACATGCCAACTTTTGGCATGATAACTGCATCACATCGAATACTTTGTATTTTGCTAACTTGAATATGTTTATGAAAAATCTACTCCTAAAAAATCTACTCTTCTTGAAAGACTGTTTAGTTTTAAAGAAATTGGTTCAAATGTTCAAAAAAGTTGGGACATTTCCATGGCTTCACCAAAACTAAAGAAATTAACCAGTGAAATCATCGCATCACATAGAACCACTTCCATGAAATTAGATTGGACGGCCAAGTGAGTACTACTAATAAAAAGGTCACTAATTATTATTGTTGTCATTATTGTTTCATATAATAATTTAAAACTGTCCATGTTAACATCAGGTTTAAGTAGGCTTGTTTTTATTAAGTTACTGGTGCCAAATATACTTGTTAACCTATATTAAGAGATTTTGGAAGAAAAGTTGGAAAGACAATAGTTGAAAATCTAAAGATCGTATAGTGAGATTATAGCCCTTAAGACGCTACAGAATTTTCCACTTATTTTATAATTTTTTTTTTTTTTTTTTTTGGCTTATGACATTTTTTTCTCCACTATTAACAGAAGCAAATATTTGTAATATACTATACTATATACTGTTATATTTGTAATATACTAAATAGTTTAGTAAACAATAAAAAAGGGAAGGAGAAAATAACAATAAATGCGGAAGCACTCAAGAAAGCAAATGATATACAAAAAAAAAAAAAAATAAATAAATTCTTTTTTTCCCGCTACCGAAAAAATGGAGCTGCAAATGATAAACTTTTAAAGTCAATGTGAATAAAATGTGCGTTTCCATATACGAATAGACAAAGCAAAACAAAGATACGCATACAACAATACTCCAAGGAGGCAGAAGAAGGAGGAGGAAACAGTTCAAAAGTCTTATATAAAACAAAATACGGATGTGGATAAATAGGCAACCAAGAAGACCATTATTCCAAGCAGAAAATATGACGAAGGGGGAAGCAATGAATGCATTAGGATATTTAAATAGCTTAAAAAATCAAAGCTAACGTTCCCTTTCGCCATTGTAGGCATCAACGTCATCATAACCATCAGCGGCATCATCTTCGTATTTCTGTATTCCCCCATTGTTGCTGTCATAGCCCTAGCCATCTCAGCTTTATCGCCTTTAAAACATAAAACGTTTTGTTGTATACAACAACAGCTACAATGGACCCTTATAAAAAGTGTCAAATATCCTTTTATTTTATATTCCTTATTTCAATGTTGATGTCGCCAACGTTGCCTATCGTTGTCGATGGTTGGTACCAATCTTGCAGTCACAATGCTGGAGTAACATTCCCCTAGATTCTTTGGGGTTTTCTTTATGGCAGCATACTATTGTATTTCTCAGTTTTTTATTAGTTTTTCTTTTCTCATTTTAAATTAAAAATAATACTTTTTGATTCCTTAACGGAAGACACAAGGCAGAAGCTAGAAAGAACGAAACAAATTGTTTAAAGAAAAAAAAAACTTATTACAGCATTTGCAAAGTTATTAGGATGAA